TCCGCGTGGGGACTGACACGCTCGCGCGGCTGGCGCGGAGCGCCCTGGACCCCGGACACAACCTCGCGCACGCCCCAAACACGCCCTGCAGCCCGCGGAGCCTCCGCCTTTGTGCGCGGCGGCCCAGCGGCCCTCCCGGCGGGCCCCTTCCCGAGAGCCGTCAACTCCGAGGGATCGAGATCAAACCGCCCCCTGCCCGCCACCGGCCCCGCCGGCGCAAGCCAGGCCCCGCGGCCCCTCGCCCGCCCTTCCCCCTACCTGCTGCCGCCGCGGCCACTTCCACCTTCACTTGCCTTTGACTCCCCGGCCCGCCCCGGCTCGGGCTCCCCACAGACCCGCCCCCGGCCCGCCCTCGCCTGCCCACGGGCCGCCGGATCCCAGCAGATCCGCCCCAGACCCCTTGTAAACACGCCCCCCTTCCCCCCGCCCCAGGCTGCCTGCCGCTCTGGGAGGGCCTGTGCTGGGAAGGCAGCTCTAAGGAAAGCAAACTGCTGGGTGCTTCCAGGCTCCGGCCCCGGCTACCCGCAACGGGGCGGCTGTGGGGTACGCGGGGATCCCTTAATCCCGCGGGGGATCCCCACGCCCGCCCGCAGCACTGCCCCCGCCCGTGACCTGGCTCTGCCTGTCCCACTCAGGCTCCTTACTTCGCCCCCAGACTCCGAGGTGGGGACGGGTAAAAGGGAGGCGAATCCAGGGCGCTGGCATCCCACGAATTTGACTCCACCCGCCCGGAAACAGAGTACTAGGCTAAGGGAGGATCGCTGCTGAGGAGGCGGGGGTCTCGCCCGCTGGGAGGGGAAGGTGTGCCTGCGCGGACTGGGCGGTGGGGGCTGGAGGTGGGAGCGTCGAGGGCGCAGGAGTTCCAGCTCCGGGGCTCCCAGGGCCCTTGGTACCTCCTCTCTCTCCGCAGTGTCCCGACGCCTGCTCTCCGGCCGCTCCCTGAGGAGTTGGAAAACAAGGCGGGGAGGGGGGACGGGGAGTGCGGGGGGCCGCTATAAATAGAGGGAGATCGCGGGAGGTGGGGGGGGGAGAGGATGGCCAACGGGGACTCCCGGGTCAAGGCCCCAAGGGGGGGGCGGAGGAGGGGCCAGGGACCCCCAGGGGTTCTGACTCTTGGATAAACAGGCACAGGGGTGGAGTTAACTCTGTGGAGGTGGAGTGGGGGCTTGGGCAGGACGCAGTGTCCTGGGCTGGGACCCAAGAGACCCTGTGGCTTCCGAGCTAACCCCTTCTAGTCTGGCCCAGAGGACGGTGAGGTCAGCTCGGCCCGGCGGAATCGCATTGCCCAGCCGCTGGTTTCTCAGGCACTGCTGCGTCTCTCAGGGCCTGGGTGGGTTTGACGTCCTGGTCCCCTCACTCACCCTGCCCTCCCCCCACTTATATGCACCCTCCCTGTGCCCCTAAGAGGAAATCCACCCAGAAGGGGATCGGTATGTGGCTAAAGGGATTCACAGTTGTCTTAGACAAAAGGACACCAGACTGAATTTCTCCCCACCTGCACCCCTTCCAGGCCCCTCCCCCCCACCGAGGTCCCCACCCTATCCTCCTTCAGCCTGGCTCCCGAGTTGCCATTTCGGGTGCTGGGCGCCAGGCCAGTTGGGAACAATGGCCAATGGAACTGGAGCTGCCAACTGCAACACCAGCTCAGACTGCCCCCCCCAAGACCCCCAAATTGCCTGCCCCCTCCTGCCTGGGAACTGCCCACCACCACCACCCTCACCACTCACGACCCAATCCCATCCAAGGAACATCAATGCCCCTTTCATCCCCACTTGGCAGGGTCTATTGGAAAGGAGGGCCCAAGAGGGAGGAGGTGACCCAGAGTAGAACCGGTCAGGATCAAGCCCAGCTTTCAGCAGCCCCACATCTAAAGGATCTCCCCTATATCCCCCAATTTGGAGCACCCAAGTTTTCCTCCATTCCTTTCCCCCACTCCCTTCATAACTATTTACCCAGAAACTGGCACAGAAGCTGGGTACCCTGGCTCCTCTCCTAGTCCCCTCTTCCCTCTGGATGTCATATTAACACTCTCCCGGACAAGGAAAAGCCTGCTGGAATTGGGACTGTAGATAAAGATGCATAAGACAGAAGAGAGATTTCCCCAGCCCGACTGCAACTGTGGGAGAAAGAGAGCCTAGGGTGAGAGCTTCTGCCGGCAGCCTCCTCTGATGTGTCTAAAGTAGTGTTACTTGGAGTGGGGGAGGGAAGGACCTGGAGGTTCCAGCATCTAAATTCGTCTCTGGGTCAGGATGACTCAGGGGGAACCTGATAAGGGGCCAACGCAGGGGCGTAGGGCAGACAGGAGTTGGGAAATTTCCACTGGGATCTGTTTGCTTCCTAGGCTTGGGGTCTCAGCCTGCCACAGGCAGTAATGAGGCTGCTTCTGATCTAAGATGGGGTTCCTCCTTGTCAGGGCAGGTCTCAGCCTGGCCCAGTGTCAGTGGCCCAACAAGAATACTTCTGTCTCTAATTTCCTTCTCTTGGGCCAGAAGCAGCTTCAAACTATACCTTCCAGTAAGCCACAGTTTTAAGTACCTGCTCCATACAAGCCACTGTATAGATGGAATTCAAAGAAGTGTAATGTCTAGTCATACTCTCTCTAGAGCATAGAATCCAGTAGTTGAGTGAAGGTATAACGATAGAAAAAATTAAGAAGTGATGTAAATATAAATTAATAGTTTAGACAATAAGTCCTATAGCAATAGTTTCCCACCCTTTTCAAGTGGGAGATCAGAGATTTCCATTTCCAAATGAAGGTTTTAGAATCCCCTGATGGGGACAAACCGTGAATTCAGCAATACTTTCAAATAAATTTGTTCAGTCTTCTGATAATCGCAACATCTATGCATCTATGCACCTACATGTGCAAAGCTTATTATTTACTCAATGACTAGTCTTCTGTGTACATACAGATTGCAGAGGTCCTTGCAATAACTCAAAAACCCTTGCCCCAGGAGGCTGCAGCCCACAGGCTAGGAACCATTATCTTAGTGTAATTCAGAGGAGGAAAAGGGTTGGTTTTCTTTTAAAGCAACCAGTGCCCAAGCTGTTTCATTTTGGGCTTTTTTAATGAATTTATTTTTTACTTATTTATTTTTGGCTGCGTTGGGTCTTTGTTGCTGCGCACGGGCTTTCTCTAGTTGTGGCGAGTGGGGGCTGCTCTTTGTTGCGGTGCACGGGCTTCTCATTGTGGTGGCTTCTCTTGTTGCAGAGCACGGGCTCTAGGCGCGCGGGCTTCAGTAGTTGTGGCTCGCGAGCTCAGTAGTTGTGGCTCACAGGCACCAGAGCGCAGTCTCGGTAGTTGTGGCGCAAGGGCTTAGCTGCTCTGTGGCATGTGGGATTTTCCCAGACCAGGGCTCTGTCCCCTGCAATGGCAAGCGGATTCTTAACCACTGTGCCACCAGGGAAGTCCCAGGAAAAGGGTTTTGTTCCTAGGGTAAACCCTATGAAGAGTACAACAATGGAGTACTTGAGTGGTAAGGAGGGGCATTCTATCCAGGCAGAGAGAGATCATGAAGGAAAGTTTTGGTACAGAAATACACAAGTTACTTGGATGAATTGAATAGTAGCTACTATGTGCAAGGTAATTCCCATATATTATCCCCTAATACTATATAAAGTAAGTACTATTGTCCTCACTATACAGATGAAGAAATTAAAGCTCAAAGATGTTTAGTGACTTGCCCAAGGCCACTCAGCTAGTAGATGACTTATCTAAGACTGAAATCCCCAGATTCATTCCACTCCAAGGTTATTCTCTCTCCACTAGGCTTCAGGTAGCTTCTGAAGCATATAATGATTAGGCCATTATGGCCCCAGATGAAGAGTAATGTTGATGAAAGGTGGGTGATGTTTGGCAAGGTAGAGTGGAGCCAAGTGTGAAGGTCCTTGAATGACAGGCAAAAAGGTTTGGCATTTCAGAAAGGTTTGAAGATCCATAGAGTATTCTTGAGTAGGAGCAATGGATAAATAATTGTTCTGTGAAAATTAATCTGATGGGGGGTTTAAAAGAGATGGATTATGGGGTGGATAGGTGTGAAGCATTTGACTTAGGAAAGAGGTCATTTAGAAGTCAGGATAATCAACTAGATATGAGATGACAGGGACTTGAATAAAGTGTGGGAGGAATAGCAATGGAAAGAAAGGAGTGAATTTGTAAGACAAGGGAAATTATAGGAATCGGTGACTGATTAGATGGGAAGGAGAGGAAAGTCACCAACCTAGTTGCTCTCTTTTAGGGGCCCTGAAGTTCATTCATCTGTATGGTTTCCAGCCAGAGAAAAGGCCAAAGAGAAACCCCTTCTGAAAGAAGAAACAACACATTTAGAAAAAACTGAATAAAATTATAGCATTACTTTAAAAGAAAAGCAGGGGGTGGAATTCCCTAGCGGTCCAGTGGTTACTCAGTGCCTTCAGTGCCGGGGCCAGGTTCAATCCCTGGTCGGGGAACTAAGTTCCCACAAGCCATGTGGCGCAGCCCAAAACAAACAAACAAACTAAAAAGGAACATCCTTGACCTGCACAGAAAATTATCTAGAGTCTGAGGCTCAACCTCACCCTGACCCACCCAGATATGTGACCCTCCAAGGCCCGTGCTCTTTCCACGTGGGGCCCAACTTTGGAAGCCATTTAAGCTCCTATTACACCTGGTCTGCCAAAGCCAGCGGGATTCTCCATGTTGGTCACGAACCTGGGCCTGGAGACTAGAAAAAAGGACAATGTTGGACTGATGTCAACCTGTTTCCATTAACTCCTTCCCTGAGCTCTCCTCAGCTTTTGTTGAGGGACAGAGCATAAGGCAATTTGATCAAGACCCAGAGGACTGGGTCAAGCGGGGCTGAAACCATGAGGGAAGCTTGATCACCTGCAGAGATCAGGAGGTCGGCAACATGCTCAATGCAGCATGCAAGGTAGGGACCTAAGAACCCCACCCCCAAAGATTAGGGCTGTAGCAAGGGCTGAAAATTATGTCACAGAAACACTGCTGAGGTCATAGAAACTTCCCTCTTCTCCCCAGTCTTCCCACTGCCACACAGTCTCCCCAGACAGCTGGCTCCCACAGATCTGTACACACTTACTTACAAAGGCTGGGAAGGGTTAGACACCATCTGGGTACTCTCAGGTACACAGAAGTGATGGGGCAGTGGGTGGTGGTGGTGATTATTCAGTATGTAGGATCCACACTAGTATCCCTGGTACTGGGAACAGTAGGTCAGATGGGAATCAGATGGAAGGGGGGAGGGAGGGAGAGGGAAAAGGGGGTTTGTTCCTGTTGCTGATTTTCTGATTTTACTTTTTTGTTTTTATAGGATTTACTCTTTTTTTTTTCTTAATTAATTAATTAATTTAGGGTTGTGTTGGGTCTTCGTTTCTGTGCGAGGGCTTTCTCTAGTCGTGGCAAGAGGGGGCCACTCTTCATCGCAGTGTGCGGGCCTCTCACTGTCGCGGCCTCTCTTGTTGCAGAGCACAGCCTCCAGATGCGCAGGCTCAGTAGTTGTGGCTCACGGGCCTAGTTCCTCCGCGGCATGTGGGATCTTCCCAGACCAGGGCTTAGAACCCGTGTCCCCTGCATTAGCAGGCAGATTCTCAACCGCTGCGCCACCAGGGAAGCCCCTGATTTTACTTTAACCTTCATCATTATTACTCCTCAGTCCTCCCTTCCCCTCCTCCCTCACCCCGAGTCTCCCCCCATACTGTCCTCCCCCACCTCCAGTTGACCATGGCATCAGAAGCAGAAAGAACATTCCAGCGGTTTGCTGTCTTTGGAGGATCGTCAAGCAGTGGCACTGAAATGAACAACAAGAACTTCTCCAAGCTGTGCAAAGACTGTGGCATCATGGATGACAAGAGGGTCACCTCCACTGACGTGGACATCGTGTTCAGCAAAGTCAAGTAAGGGACCAGAGACGGGAGCGGGGGGTGGTGAGTAGAACTAACGAGGTGGTGGGATGAGGGAGGGTTTCTGTGGTGGAACATTTGTAATGTGTCTCCTGAGCACCTACTGGGTACCTGGCACTGTGCTAGCCCCTGTCCTCAAGGCACTCAGTGTGTAGAGGCCCTGTCTGAGTAAGGGGAGGGTTGGACCTTGGAAGGTGATGAGTTCATGTTCCTGAGTTCCTGGATTTCTGTCTGACTGATCAGGGCCAAGAATGCCCGAACCATCACTTTCCAACAGTTCCAGGAAGCAATGAAAGAACTGGGCCAGAAGCAGTTCAAGGGGAAAAGCCCGGATGAAGCCCTGGAGAACATTTATAGACTCATGGAGGGCAAGGACCCAGCTACCACCGGTGTTACTGTGAGTGAGTCTTCATTCCTGACCCCTGACCCTACTTCCCTGAGTCCCTGCTGCTCCTGTGTCCCTTCCTCTATGCCGATGTCCCTAACCCCTGCCAATAGCAGCACTGCAGGGAGATAGGGCAGAAGGTCTCTGGGCACTGTTGGTATTGAAACAGACTTCAGAGATCATCGAGTCATTTCAGAGGTGAGGAAACTGTGAAAGGAAATGACTTACCCAAGGTCTACAGCTATCTTAATAGTGAAACTTAGACTCATTCCCAAGTGTCCAGGATCTGGGCCAGGCAACTAGGGCCTGGCAGCTTTGGGGGGACACTGAGTGCAGACGACTTGGTACCTGATCCTCACTCCTCTTCTCGCTCTTATGTAAGGTGAAATATCTGACTTCCTCCCTCTCACCTGCCCTCTGCTCCCTACTTGTCCCCTTTCTACTAAAAGCTCTTCCTATTCTAGGTTTCAAATAGGGCCTTCCCAACAGGACAGGCTTTGTGTTTTAGGTCTGGGGTTGAAGTCCTCTGGCTGCAGCCTAGTCAAACTAGCTCCTCTGGAAGCAGAAAAATACACACACACACACACACACACACACACTTATTCCCATAAACCAGATTTCTTCCTCACAAGTAGATGGTTCTTATTATAGTTCCTCCCTACAGCTGCACCTGGGCCCTAAGCAAGCAGCACCATGCCAAGGGTTGAACAAGAGCTCTGAGAACTAGTCGAACTACTAGAAGGCCATCTCTAGAGAAGGGGCGTGACAGTGGAGGGGAAGGGAGAGGGCTCAGATGCCTCATCCTCTGGCTTGCAGAAAGCAATGACGGTGGGAGGGGTGAGCCAGCTGACGGACACCAGCAAGTACACGGGCACCCACAAGGAGCGCTTTGACCAGAGCGGCAAGGGCAAAGGCATCGCGGGACGGGAGGACATGACTGACAACTCAGGCTACGTGAGTGGCTACAAGGGTGCTGGCACCTATGATAAGAAGGGCAGCAGCTAGGGAGTAGCGTCATCTTAGCCTGCCGGCCCTCGACCCTGCATCTTTAACGCCAGGGAGCTTGGGGGACAATAAACATCTGTGTGTGCAGCAGCTCATGGGCTCTGTTTTCCACCAGGGTGAGGGAAGAGGGGCCCCTTGGTGCAGAGACAGAGAGAGGAGCTGAGAAACCCAAGGATAGGGGTTCTCAGCACCACACCCTTTACTCTACTTGGCCTCCCCGCCATTAGGTAGCATCCCCTTCAACAGCAGCTTCTAAGAACACGGCTGAGGAATGTATTGGTTTTAAAACCTTCTGTGACTACAGCTGGGCCCACTTCACCCCTGCCTTGTCAGAGGCAGATTCTGGAGTTTGGGGGATGTTAGGAGGAGGTTGGGAAGTAAAAGGATGCAGGAATCTGGGGGGAAGAGGTCAGAGAAGATAATTTGGAACTCCAGTGAACCAAGCTGAGACGGATGGAAGGAAAAGAGGTCAGAGAAGAATAAAGGGTGACTAAAGAGGTTGGATGTGTAGGGGAGAGACTGCCCTGGGCTCCGTGGTGGAAGGAGGACAGAAAGGACAGGTTACATGAAGAGAAAATCAGTGATTCCATAGAGAAGAACAGACTGAGAGCTCGGGGGAGGGAGCGTGGCCTGGAAAAATGAAGCTAATATGAGTCTAAGACTCTCAGGGAGGTTCCTATAGCTGGAGATACCTACCATGTGGGTGAGCGAGTAGAGGGAATCATAAGGGAAATGGGGAAGACTGAGAAGGGAAGGGTGGCAGGGATGGGGATTTGAGACTCGGAACTGGTACCATGGTGTGAGCTGAGGCTCTGGGCCTCCAGCCACGATACAGGATCTGGCCCAGTAGATGGACACTCACTGCCAACTGGACACAGTCAGCTTCTTGGGTGGGTGAAACTGTCTGTGGGAGAGGGAGGGTGGTGGCAAGAGTGATGGGAGGAGATAAACAAGTTAGAAAGAGCCTAGAAGACAGTACAACTTTGCATGGTGACCAAAGCTCTGGACATATTTCCTATCTCCCTGGTCTCTTGGGAGGGGATCCTGCCTACCTTTGAAGCCAGGAAGGAAGCCTTGTACCAGGGATCAGAGCTTCAGGAGTGGGGACAGGCTGGTCTGTAGCGGCAGTAGGGGGGCTAGTTCAGACTTAACACATCCCATCCCTAGTAGAGGCCAATGATATCTATCGGTTCAGCATCATACTTTTGGGAGCAGAGCAGATAGAGCCTTTGGTTGGTTAGGGTGCTGGTGTAGTGGCAGCTGGTGGGTGGCTGCTTGGAGCTCAGGGAGCAGATTGTGAGGGGGAAGGAGTCCTGGGTGACTGTTCAATATTCATTGTAATTCTCACAGAAGCTCTCGCTCTACTTGTAGAACTTCTTGATGGCTGTCCACAGGGCATGTAAGACATAATGGATCTTTGGGCAATACCAGCTTTGTTGTCTGCCCTGTACATAGGACATCAGACCATTACAGTAGCCCCGGAAACCCTTTGCGTAGTTAACCTTGGGATAGTCTATATGTAAGGTACGGAAGTTCTTGATGGCAAGCTGTAGCTGGATGTTTTCGACCAAAGCTGGCTCTAGAACAAGCCGGAGGAACAGGAGCTGGACCACAAGTGGTGCCATTCTTCCTGCTGGCAGAGTTAAGGTGATTGGAAGCAGAGGTGGGTCTCGAGTGGCTGTCCGCCCCTTCCCAGAGCTTCCAGTGTGCCCCCAGTCTCCCCCATGTGCCTTCCCCTATGCCCTCAAAGCGGGACTGTCCTTCAGAGATCATCCGGCCCAAGTCTTCATGCCTCAGAGAGAGGAGACATTTGCCCAAGGTCACCCACCTGATCAGCCACCTCTAGCTTGGTCTACCTTAGAGTCTCAGCCTCACCCAGTCTGGGAGCTGTAACACTTATGAAATACAAGGTCCAACTGGTCCTTGGGTGAGAGACGCTTCCCCTTTATCCCTGGCCCAGTTAATCCTTCTGGTAGAAATGCAGACGGTCCAGAAAGGACAGGCTCAGCTACACTTCTCTGACTGAAGTGGAAGAACAGGAGTTGGAGGACAGCAGGGCAGGGGTGGGATTCTTCCTTCCTGAGGCCAAGGACAGCCCAAAGGTAAGAAGAGGCTAGAAAGGTTTCTGGATGAAGGCCAGTCTGAGAGGAAGGAGTGTCCCCTGGGTTTGAGGAGCCCCTGTGCTGACGGGGGTGGATGTGGGGGGAGGAAAGAGACATTGCTTTCTGGTTTCCTCCTCTCTGGTGTCATCAGAACACTTAGTTCCAGCCTCCTTGCGAGAAGTCCCGAAGTTCTTGGGTTTCCTTTGATGTCTTCTCTGGTTCATCGGCCATGCTCCTGTGGAAAGGTGACAAGGAAAGCACCGTCATGTTCCTGAGGAACAAAGTGCTGCTTATTCCTGACCCTCAGAGAACAGAGGGTCTTCCGCTCTCTCATCCCACTCACTAGATCCCCGGAGGCCAGGTACGCAAGGGCCTCCCGCCTGAGTGCTGGGCTGAGAATCAAAGACCTCGGTGTGGACCCCCCCCCACCATCCCCACCATCAACTTCACTCCAATCGTGATCACAATGACACTCTCACCTGTAACCTCAGGCCCTCTCAGAGTCACAGCACTCCTCGAAATCTATGCATACCGACCCCAAAGCCTCAAACTTGTCAGGTGGGATTAGACAACACAGCCTGGACTTGAGGGGGTGTGGACCGCCTGTGTCCAGCAGATCAGATTCTTGCTGTAGTTTGTCATGTTGGAAAAAAGGGCCAGGCTCCTATCTCTTTTTCATCAACACCTGCCCCTTCATCAGAACCAAAGAGCTAGCTCCCCAGAGCCTGCCAGCCACAGTCCTTGATGCCCACAGGCCTCTCAGCCTTGCCTCCACGCACCTGTTGTCCAGGTTGGATAGCTTACCGTTCTCTCCCTGGAGAGCAGGAGAAGGGAGTCAAAACAGAGAACGCCGAGTGTCCCAAGGCCGGTGTGTAGTTCAGGAAGGGTGGGGGGCGCATGAGAGAGTCGCATGGGTGTTCCTCGCTCACAACCCCCTTAAACTTGCTCTTTCTGACAGCACAAAGCAGAGTCCAAAACTGAACCCATCCTTCCCCAACTCGCTTTCCCTCCTGCCTTGTCCCCTTCCTCAGTTACTTAGGCAAGAAATCTGAGAGTGGTCCTCTACCCCGCCCTCTCCTTAATCCCACCTGTTTGGAGGCAGTACTGCATGGTGGTTAAGAGCAAAGCTTTTGAGTAAAACAGACCAGGAATTGCATCCTGGCTCTACTGCTTCCAGGCTGTACACCATCAGTCTAAGTTCACTAAACCGGTATAAGCTTCAGTTTCTTCATCAGTTAATGAAGATAATATTCTGTACCTCGTGGCAGTCTTAGGATTCGTTAAGATGTATATCAAGAGCTCTTAGCCCAGGGCCTGGCACATGGTGAGTACTCAATCCGAGCATGAGTCCATCAGTCACGCAGCTCTGACAATCTTTTTTTTTTTTTAATTAATTCTTTTAAAATATTTATTTATTTGTTTATCTGCGCCAGGTCTTAGTTGCGGCATATGCGATCTTCGTTGTGGCATGCGCTCTTAGTTGTGGCTTGCGGGATCTAGTTCCCTGACCAGGGATTGAACCCAGGCCTGCTGCATTGGGAGCGCGGAGTCTTAACCACTGGACCACCAGCGAAGTCCCATCCCTGACAATCTTTTTTAACTAAAACTTTTCCCGAACCAGTCTCTTCCATTCCTATTTCTTCCCCTGCTCAGGCTTTCCCCTCTCCTGGACACCACACACTCTCCAACTCCAGGAGGACTCTACACCTCGTAGGACAGAAGACCTCCATGACCTGGCCACCCCCATGTCTCCAACTGCATCTCCATCTCTGCCTGCTTCCCCCACTGGTGCCCACCCCACCTCTCGCTCACGTTATCTCCTCTACCCAGCATGCTGCTCTCTCCTCCCGCTCTCACCCCCGTCAGTTCCGCTGGGCCAGCTCATGTGAAGATCAGCCCGGACGTCCTGTTTAAGAAGCGTCTGCTCGGAGCACCTCCCCAGGGAAGTGTGCACAGCCAAGTAAGTGAGGATAAAGCCCACACAGGCAGGTGGCTCATCTGTATCCTTCAGGCTGGTGTATCAGCCAACACCCAGTGGGAATCCATGCAGGGTGGTGCCAGAGCCTGGCTGACTCAAGTCTTCGGTTTGAGGAAGCTATAGCACTTTGTGGCCCCAGACTCAGCGTGTGCCACCTCTTCCTTATTTGCTCAAGGCTGCAGCTTCCCTCGGAAGAGAAAGGGGCTTTTCATGCCTCTTGGTCTTCTTCTTTCTTCATTCCTACCCACCCACCACCGCTAACCTCTGCACACAGTGTTACAGAGATGGAACAGCACATAGTAGAGGAAAGAGTTTAGGACTTGATCTCAGATAACCTACTGAGCTTCTGTTTCCTCTTCTATAAAATGGAAGCCTTCCTTACCTCATGAGGCTGCAAGAATAAAATGAGATGGTCAATATGGAGGTGACTTTTAGCCATTAAACAATATATAAATGGAAAACTGGATATGGTCTCCTAGGTCTTATAACAACTCACTTTTTTCTCCAACTCACTTAACATCTGCAAAGCCTTCTTTTTTAAATTTATTCATTTACTTTTGGCTGCGTTGGGGCTTTGTTGTTGTGCATGGGCTTTCTCTAGTTGTGGCGAGTGGGGACTACCCTTCCTTGCAGTGTGCAGGCTTCTCATTGCAGTGGCTTCTCTTATTGCAGAGCACGGGCTCTAGGCGTGTGGGCTTCAGTAGTTGTGGCACGTGGGCTCAGTAGTTGTGGCTCGTGGGCTATAGAGCACAGGCTCAGTAGTTGTGGTTCATGGGCTTAGTTGCTCCACGGCATGTGGGATCTTCCCAGACCAGCGCTCAAACCCGTGTTCCCTGCGTTGGCAGGCGGATTCCTAACCACTGTGCCACCAGGGAAGCCCTGTAAAGTCTTATATTCCCCAAATGAGCCAAGTGACCTCCCCACATCCCCACTCTGCCAATCTAGAGCCCTCTTTAACACCTGACTTAAATTCATCTTCACCAAGCTTTCTATTAGTCATGCCCCACGTTGA